TCCTTCCGATATTATGTAAATGCAGGGCCTTTGTGTTGCCACAAATTGTTTCATAGCCGACAACAGATGAGCAAACATCCCCAACAACCCCCGTCGGCCGACACTCGCGCCAGACGCACCACGTAAATATTTTTATGGAGCATAAAATCAAATTGTTATGTTTTTGAAAACATAAAATCATTGCTTTGAAATTGCAACAAATATTACACTTCGAAAAGTTAGTCATTCTTAAATAGTTAGTAGTAGTAGTAGTTAGTTTATCGGATAACATATAAAAATTATGGTTTTTTTTTCAAAAAAGACACCTATATAGATCAACTTAAAAAGCAAAACCTTATCTAAAGACAAAATTTAGTTCAAATCCTTAGAGCCGTCTGCGAGACACACAAAATAGACTTATGTATGTATATTCAAGAATCACTCATTTAATATTATAAGATAATTATAAATAAGAAAAAAAATATTATACCGTTATTAGCGGCTTACCATAGGTATCTTTTTGCCCCAGGGGTGTTGTAGTGTTTGCGCAAGCGATCCTGCAACGCCCCATTGCACTGCGGCGACGGGTTCCGCTGTGGGTTTTAGTGAGTAGGAGTCTCACAGTACCCTGCCCGTTGACGGCGGGCAGGGTCCCCATGATGGGTTTCTTCAGCGATATCAAAAAAAAAGTGTCTTTTTGCCTCCGTTCTGATAGGTTTTAGTGGGTAGTACTGTCTTATCTAACCGGTTGTATGCGTAGATGCATTTCCCAGCTTTAAAAAAGGTGTCTTTTTGGCATATACACATCTCAACAAAGCAACTTAAAGGCTAGTTTTTCAGCCCTAATTAAAATTATTCTACTATATTAAAATTATTATACTTTTTACTGGCTTACATTTACTTCAACTTAGAGAACGGTGCAACTTTCATCAAAGTGGGTTCAGTAGTTTTGCAAGATATTTATTTACTGATACATGTGAGTATGACGGCCTTGCTTATTGATACGAGCTACGGGGGTTTCAAAGGGAAAATATCTCAAAACTTTGGTCACAGTAGAATTGTAGTGTGATTGTGTCAACAAAAACTTTTTAACAAAAAATAAAAACCGACTTCCAGGCAATAAAATGTATAAAATAACTAAACGAAGGTTTTCATTTAGAATAGATACCTAATCAGATATTTTCGAAGTCGGTGCCAGCCGATGCAAAGCCAATCTAATATATTTCGATATGTAAAATACATATTTACCTATTAGATATTCATATCTTAAAATATTGTCGGCTGGCTCCGAGATCGAAAATATCTGATTAGGTATCTATTCTAAATGAAAACCTCCGTTTAGTATTTTTTTACATTTTAGTGCCTGAAATTCGGTTTTTATTTTTTGTTAAAAAGTTTTTATTTTTCCACTTTTAGTGTATAAGTAATAAGCAGGTAATTTATAAGAAGAAAGTTTTTTAAAAACATATTCGATTAAGCAATTTATTTAAAAAATATATTTATTGTTGATTTTTTTAAAAACCGCTCTACCGATTTCGATAAAATTTATATGGGACCACCTGGGAAGTAAGTATATAATATATCCTTTGAAACAAAAAAATATCCAAATCGGTTCAGGCGTCTTCGAGTAAATACATACACATAAATAAAGATTTCGACGAATTGAGAACCTCCTCTTGTTTGGTATTCGGTTAATTAAAGAGCATTAATACCAAGTTTCAAGTACACAATTCTAATCATAATTTTTTTTTTGGGTTGTATTATAACGTATTTTCCCGTGGAAATGAGATAATCTCCCGCCTTAAAAAGTAGTCTATGTCACTGACCAGCCTCCAACTATCTCCACACAAATAATCACGCTAATCCCTCAATCCGTTTCGATATAAAGAAGGACAAACAAACACACTTTCACATTATTAATATTAGTATGGATTTGTCGTAACTCGTAACTTAAGTCCTAAGCCCTGCCATCTAGTGGGTATTGTAAAAGTTACAAAATATATGGAAGTTCATCTTTATACGTGGTACAACTATAAAATAATAGATGGCGGCTTCGGAACAAAATGAGTAAAATATGTCCAAATACTAGCATTGCTCGCGTTCAGATGCCTAAAAACCAAATTCTTAGGTTTTACATATTAGTATATTCTTACAATACAGTTTTTGTATTTTTTCTCAGAAATGAGATATTTTCCTGCGGTAAAAAGTATCCTATATGCTGACCCGGATAACCAGCTATCATCATACTAAATTTCATCAAAATCTGTCCAGTGGTTTTCTCGTGATGCGGTAACAGACAGACAGACAGACAGACAGACAGACAGACAAAAATTCTAAAAACTATAGATTCGGACTCTGTATCGATAATAATGTCTATTTCAATTAGATTTTCCAAAAAATATTTAATGTACAGATTTGACTTAGTTGCAATTTTATTATATGTATAGATTACAAAAAAAATACTAATATCCCTCAACGACCGCGGGCACGCTGGCGTTACAGTTAACAATAGATTACTTAGAAATTTAATTAATTTCTTAGAAATTTACCTCGACTCAGAAAATGAAACCGCGCCATCTACATTTATATACAATGCAGGGTTGCAACTTGCAATGCAGATTTGAGATTATAGATCAACGACTACTCAGGGCTGAGTAGTCGTTCAAATAATAAAACAGAAATTGACGTTTCGTCCAAATTTAAGCTTATTTTGTTCAGGTTATTGTGTAATGAATTATCAAAATATTAATACAATAAAGCCTTATTTGTTATGAAAATATGACTTTTGACTCCTTCGTTTCATCAGAATAATTTCTATATATTTGAACTCCATATCACCTCCTCTATCCAAAAATACCACTCACTTCTCCAAGGACCGCGTCCCATATACTAAACTTGTGCCCAAAACATAATCTATACGTAACCATTTGTCATTAAAATTGTTCATAACTCCTAATTTACTTCTGTATCGTTATAATTTACACGTAATATTATACTATTGAAGCTTACTCAAGTATGATATGTTTATATACTTTTTGTAAATATGAGATAAATACGATAATCCGATTTACATGAACAATTTTCTTTCAGTATTTGTTTGTTTCAGATCTGAACGAGAATCTTACAGTGATTCAGCAGTTGGCTATGTCCAAGTGAAACCAGATGGAGACACATGACGTGGAGTTAAAGCTCGGATTACACCTGAGCATAATGTCCAACAGAAATGTTATGCTCTTACTTGCACTTGCTTGCTTTGCTTTTACCGGTGGTAGGACTCTGTCAAGCCTGAGGAGTCCCGACTGGATGGGTACCACCCCTTTATCTATTTCTTCCGCCAAGCAACAATGATTTCATTATTGTGTTCTGGTTTGAAGGATAAGGTAGCCAGCGCAATTACAGGCAAGAGGCATATCGTCTTAGTCCTCAAAGTGACAACTCACCTGCGGTTCTGCATTTTTGGAACATAAAACCTAAGTGCATGAACCGTAGGTGTTATGGGCGACAGGTACCGCTTTCCATTCGGTGGGCTGTCTGCTTGTTTGTCACTGAATACAATATACAATGAAACAAAAGAAACTATTCTTTCTGTTGAATGTGAAGATTGTGCTGCACATTTAGGTAACTATTTTACTTGCTTAGCTTCAGTGCTTAGGTCCACCAAGTTAGTTGGTTGTTAAATCAGATCACAATGATGTGTGTTACATTTAAGTGTTAGTTCTAGTTAGACTTAGCAACTTTCTTTGACAGAAGATGATCAATCTCACTTTTATACTTTTTGTTTTTATTTAAAAGACCTACTAATAATGTTTTGGTATTTTCTTTATACATCCAAGTAAATTTAATTTATGTATGTAAGAACTTTTTTTTATTGTTTTAGTATTATTTACATAACATAAACATGAATCAATTTACATTTCTTTTGTTATGTTTTAGGTGGATGCAAGCATGCGTTAGCTTTTTTAGCGTGGCTACACCGGCATAGTGAAGATCCATCCACAACTAGCGTCAAGTGTTATTGGAAAAAATCAAAATTATCAACCATTGGTTCTAGCCTGAAGTTTGTTAAAACCAAGGAAATTTCTAAAGCACCTAAACTTGTGCAAACACCTTTGAATAATGAAAGTTTCCTCACATTGGTAAATAATAATTGCACAATAAAGCCATCTTTTCAAAATGATGTAGAAAATATAATTTAAATGTCATTTCTTTATTGTGGTTTTTGAGATACTTTATTGATTTTGGTTTTTTTTTCTAATTTTGAATATCTGTTTTCTTTATGCTATGACACTGTTATGTATGACCTTCCATAAAACAAATGTAAATATATATTCATTTCTTTTTAATAAACCTTTCTGCATATTTACCAGTCCACAAGCTATTATTATTACATGATCTATGATAGGAATTAAATTGTTGTCAACACAGGCATGAGGTAGGAACATGTGATTATGTGATGTGAACATGTCCAGCACAATCTTCACATTCAACAGAAAGAACAGTTTGTTTCGTTTCATTGCATAAGGTATTCATATGCATATGGTATTCTCTCTTAACCTATTTATTACTCGTTCGACATGTATGCTTAATGCTGCTACCAGTTTTGATAGTTTTACTTCATCTTTAGTGCTGGGTGTAGACTTAGAGACAGAAGGTGGTCTTATGAGGGTACATTTTTTGGCTTGTAGCAAACATGACAATCTTTAATCCTCTGTCAGCCATCACTGCTTTGTTAGGAGGTAAACTCTAAGTAATTACAATCTTGTACTATCATAACATCAGTAGCCGTAACACTATCGTTGGTGGAACATGTTATTAATAGTGGACCATAATTGAAAATTCCTGGATATTTATCGAACTGACACTACCAATTAACTTCAACGAATAGGTAATTATTACTAAACCTAAGATGATGATTATTGTACATATAGTTTTAGTTTTAAATTATAAGTCATTTTTTCTCTTTTCCTAAGTTAAACTTATAAATAAAAATTCATTATTGATGTATACATGATTTATTACTAGGCAAGTAAGCTTTTTGTCGCCATGTCTAGAGCGCCACTGTACGAGGCATTGCCGCCGATGAAGCCGGTGCTGTGACAGAACACGGCGCCCTCGACGCCGGACACCCTGCTCAGTTCCTCGTCACGGACACCCCACCAATCTTTGTTCAGAGGTTTCCTGACAAGAAAAAAAAACAAATTTATTATTAAGTTATTAATAAACATTATTGGATAAGGCCAAAGTTGTGTGTTATATATTTTTGTAACCATTGTAATAGTAAGTACAGTATATTTGGATGAAAATGGAAGTTAAATCTAGTGTTGTAATTTTTTTTTGTCTTTCTGTATAGAGATTAGAGAGTATGGTAAAAATCGCTTTATTAGCTTGAAAGTTCATCTAGGAACATCCATCCTGAACTGGTCAATATATTCAGTAAAGCCATGCAGTAGCACAGACTTAGGTGTGATATTTTCTCATTACTTGTATTTCTTTGTATTTGCATATGGTATTTTTAGAGGATAAAATGATGTCTTACCTAAGTATAAAACTGGTAGGACTGACCGGCACGGCCTGCACTCTCCATGACTTATCTTCAAACAAAACATATTTAATTTCACTTTCAATTCCTAGGGCTTCTTCTATGTCGAATAAATGTTCTTTCCAAGGCAAGCCTCCACATTCAAATTTGAGAATTTGACCAGATTCATGGATTTTAAACCTATTGTCTACAGCTGCTTGTACATGATTTCTTGCGGGCAACCAGACTGATATAAAATATTCAATTGTATATAAAAACTCCTCGCCTACTAAAAACATTGCTTTTTTAAAAAGATCATCGTAATCTATGGTCCGATCAGAATTCCATCTTGGATTTATTCTGTGCACTCTACTACTTAGATGTGTCCTTATTTTGTATCTAGGCTCACTATCAGTCATGGGGACGCCATTGTCTATTGCATCTATCTCTTCTACTAAGTTTTCATAAACTTTTTTGTAAATGATGGATAGATTATGAGGTGTTAATTGTTGGTCTTTAGCTGCTGCTTGAATGACACGTTCTCCATAGTAAATATAGACAAGGCCTGCCGAGCTCAATCTGTAATAGTAAAAATATCATAATTATTATATTAGAATTGAATGAACATCTTTACAGTATTTGAATTCTGAGAGCTACTCTTCAAGATAGAATGGAATTGAATATTTACATTCTATAATTGTATTTTCTTAATTTATTATTAGTAAAAGCTAATTTTAAAAATTATATTGATTTGTTTACTAAGTACTACACAAACACAAATTATTATTATTAAACAAGTAAATAGCAAATAATTGTATCAGTAAAATATTGTTTGGAAATATTATAATTCAAATACTCAATTAAAAAATAATCCAAATAGAACAGCAAGTATGAATACAGAATCTGCTGAAAATTATGCAGTTTAACTTCACTTAAATTATAAAATTCTAAAAGGTTATTAATCATTAACAATAACACTTACTTTATTTTATACTTCTCACCCAACTCAGGCCGTAACGAGCTAAGAGTTTCATTGAATTCTCTTTGATGGTGATCATAGAGTTTCTTGTCATGGTCAAATACTGAACCAACATCTACAACTATGTCACACTCTTTCAGCTTGTTCATATCTCTGGTTCTGACAATTTCAGCATCTTTATATTCAGGTAGAAGCTTGAGCATGTAGCAAGCAAATACTTCATCACAATGAAATGTTCCATCATGTGTTCCGATCTAGAGATGAGGAAGGTTTACTTAAATTACTTATTTAAAATTTTAGTCATGTTAAACATAATATTATTTATTTATTTATAATAATTGTGATTTTTACTTGATGTAGAAAAAGTTAGAATGTGCATTTTTATTAAGATTAAAATTAAATATCATATGAAAACTAACCTTCATTGTTTCGAATACGTTGCAAATGGGACGACTGAAAAGTTGAAAATTAATGTTACGATGAATGCAACGATTAACTTTATATATACTAAAAACACTTTTGAGCATAACTTATTAACTACAACACATTAATTTAATAGTATGTACAGTGGAAATTGTCAAAAAATGTATGAATAACACATTTACAAATAGAATACTTTCATTTGATAGAGGTTATGTACAAAAGTCAAAATATAATAATATATTAAATATTTTGTTATGACGTTTGAGGTTGACGTTTATGGTGATTGTTCACAATGATATCGATATTTATTAATATTCCATATTTCAACAGAGCCATCGAAATCGAATGTTTAAATTATTTAAAATTTACAATTATTGTAAGGTATTTTAAAACCATTTATCTCTTTCTTCTAAATTATTGCATAATGTTATGAGTAGATATTGTCTGTAACAACTATAATATAACTTGGCTTCTCGTGACCAAGTTTGCTGTAAAACGGCGGGAACATAGATATAAATTATAATGGCAACAAAATCCGAAAAAAGTGTTTTATTATAATAATTATTTTGGCTTAATTTTTTCAATGCCCTTGTCTGCATAGCAAATTATGACAAAAGTTTTTGTATTGTACTAAAACAATGTATGTATTATCATCCTCAGTGTCCATTATTTATAATGTAATATAGTTAAAATTTTAAAAGAGGCTTAATATAAAAGTATCGTATAAAATGTTTTCACATTCAAGCTCTTGTAAAATCGATTTTAATAGCTTTGTGAATAAGAAACGAGATGGCGTTAGTGCATTGAAAAATATTTTGTTCGTAACTTTTCTTTAGGATAAAATATAGAAACGATTTTGTTCAGAATTATATTCATATCATGTACATTAAATTAGAAAAATATGAATTAATAGTATGATTTAAGTTGGATTGGGTTTTATAAAAAGATTTTTGATTTTCAATTTGAGATCGAATAATTACCTACAATTGAATTTATGTAAGTAAATAGTATAGCAGGAAATAATAAAAAAATAAATAAAACCATGAATTGTCTTAAAAAATGTTTTTAAATTATTATACACTCTGAATTTTGTTTTTAATTTGTGTCAGCAGATGGCGTTTCTAGTCTAATGATTTTATTCGCTGCGCTAATCTATTTACAGGTATAATGCCGAAATAAACTAGTATCTTAAGGAGATTACTTTAATTTCAAGGAAAAGGAATTGAATCCCTACTGGATATGATGTTGTCCTAGCCGATTCCGGCCACGGCGGCCAATCTCATTGAGACTAGCCAACTGCGCAGGAGATATTATAGTGCACAAGTGTACGCGCAGACACAAGTGCACTCTCTATTCCTGTCACTCTCATACTCCGGTGGGACGACCACTCGACACGACCAGTGAGAGTTAAGGCGCAGGACTGACGGCTTTACGTGCTCTCCGAGGCACGGGGGTGAAACACCGCCAACTTACCAACTCCGGGCTGTTACTGAGACTTACTATACAGAAAGACTCAATAACTAAACTTGGCCCGACCTGAGACTCGAACCCAGGACCTCCGAGTGTGCAGCCGTACATGCTAGTCACTACACCACCGAAGCAGTTAACTGGATATAGGACTGCAGTTGTACCTATGAATTATTCTGTTGGTATGTAAGTAATCTACTGTATTTTTTTTTGCAAATTAACATAATTTTATTATTGTTAATAAAAATGTATGGTAATACTTAGCATATTTTAAATTGCGATCAAACTTAAACTATATTTACAACTAGTATTGCCCGCGGCCCCGTCCGCGTTCAGATGACCAAAAACCAAATTCTTAGGTTTTATATATAGTATACCTACTCTTAGAACGCAGTTTTTGTATTTTTTCTCAGAAATGAGGTATTTTCCCACGTTAAAAAGTATCCTATATGTTGACCCGGATAACCAGCTATAACCAAACCAAATTTCATCAAAATCTGTCCAGTGGTTTTCTCGTGATGTGGTATCAGACAGACAGACAAAAATTCTAAAAACTGTAGATTCGGCATCTATATCGATAATAATGTCTATTTCAATAAGATTTTCCAAAAATTATTTAATGTACAGATTCGGCTTAGTTACATTTTTATTATATGTATAGGTTTGTCATTTTTACATAGAAATGACTGTAATAATATTCTGTAGTTATGAATTTTTAAGATACATCCTACACTGCCTTATACTCCCAGACAGTGCCGGCCCTAGCCTTTGATCAGGGTAGAGCGAGATTGTCTTTCAGCGCCTCTTAATTGGCGCTTTCACTTTTCATTTTCGCTTTAGCTTTATGTTAAATAAATAATAATAATTACTATTTTTTTCAAATCAACTTATTACAAAGATACACACTTATTGAATTTAAATTCAAATTTGATGAAATAAATTAAATAAGGCTTGTGAGTAGTAGACATTTCGCGTATTGAAACATAGTATTATTTTAGAAAGTAGAAAGAGACTATTCGATTCTCATAAAAAAAACCCACAAGTGAGTGTATAATGTATTATGTATCTTTTAAATATATATTTTTTTATATTTACATAAACATTTCCTAAGGTAGTTTACCAAGTTTGTCTAATCAAGAAGTTATTTATCCAAGTGGAAGTTTTGTACCAGTAGCTTTCAGTTGTTGTTAGCTGTAGGTTCTATAACTATAACTTAGCTGTTTGTTTCTAAACTAAAAAAGATTAAAAAATAGTCAAAAGATAAAACTATAAAGATTTCTCAGATTTGCCAAATTGTTAAAGTAGTAAATATTATTTTGTAATGAAAGCTTTTTTAATAATCTTTTTTCTTCGAAGTATGTGACATACAAGAATGTATATAAATTAATAGTAAAAAACAAGCTTTTATTTAAATGCTCTAAAAAGAAAATAATGAACTTTAAATTTAAATATATATTAAATAAAAACTTTAAATTAAATTAAACCCAACAATTAATTATATTACACAATTTATATGATTTAAAAGCTTGTCGCGATATTCACCTGTGTAGATAAACAAGAATATAATATTTGAAATAGGTAAATCTCGCAATGAGCTTTTATATCATATAAATTGTGTAATGTAATAAATTTTTGGGTTTGGTTTAATTATTATTTTTTAGTTTTCATTTTATTAGTATTCTTCTCAGCAAACTCTTTCATTTGATATTCATATCATGAGGGTGCATAAAAAGACTATTCCACCATCTTTGGGTGTCCGCTATATTGGATTTAGAATGACGTTTAGTCAAATTTAACTTTCAAGATTTGATTATAGACAGACAGAAACCAGGACAGTTGAAACTAAATAATAGCTTGTAAAAATGTATGACTTCTTAACTATCTTTTCGGATTTTTTCACGAATTTATTTAGATTTTTGGTTCCCAACGTTTTGAATGCTTTAAAGCATTATTTGTATTATATTATAACTTATAATTATTATGTATAACTTTATTATAATAAATACATGCATTTTAAAGTGTTTGTAAATATAGACGTAAAAAAACCGCTTGCCGTTAGTTTTCAGAGTGTAGTCTGAAGCCAATCTCATTAAACATCCGTCGTGTGTTAGTGAAGTTGCATGTTTGGCTGATATTGTTTATTGTAAGGGAGATCGCGGGTGTCATCTGCATCTGAGAGGAATATTCTTATCTAAGTTGTAAACTATCTACGTAGAATACTAGTAGGGCTCGCTACTTATGACTGACTGACTTTTCTTTAATTACATTATCAAGAAAGGTAGTGAAATAAGGAAAGTAGAGACCATTAAGTTGCAATCTTTTTTTTTTTTTGGTGAACAAAGCCAAAAGCAACAACTAAACCAAAGATTTTACGGTATAACCGAAAAAGTACTTTAAAAAGACTTGTAAATCACATTAGACGTAAAAAGTGCCTCTCACAAATATAACAAGGGGACTCGCTAATTGATTTTCGATGGACAACATTCCCTGCCATATAAAGACCGGGGGCCGGTCGGCGCTCGACGCATTGCTGATGATTCAATACTACCATATCCACCGGGCGCTTCTTAAGAAGCGGCAAGCGTGCGAGCATTTGCTCTCTAAAAAATATATGTTTAAGAACTGGAAGCTTTTCTCCCGGAACAGTTTCTAGATTATCTTTTAAAAGAATAGCTTTTAAAAGAATAACTCCTTAACAAACTCGTTAAACTTAAAAAAAGTAATAATTGATTATATACAATACATAATATTGAGCTTTATATTGAAGATTACTCAAATCAAATCTAACTTAAAAAGTTGTATTCAGCTCTCTTTAACGTCCCACTGGGAACGTACCTTCTTTCAATAGGTGCATCAAGCCATAGCCCATTAAGCTGACCAAGTGACCATTAAGATAAACAGCGTTTTGCGACAATTACTATTTTTTGAAGAAGTAAAGTTTAGTTTGAAGCTATTGTGTGTGTACACTGGATCGATACTATTAGTGATACGTTCTATTGGTAAGATACAACATACAGCCACCAGCAGTCGGCGTCTAGTACCGGGGAACACCTGCCGTAGCATCAACCGAGTGTGAGCCGCTAGTATTCTATAATTTTGCAAAAAAAAACCAGTATCTTAGATCCCTTTGTATTTAAAAAAATCGGGTGAGACTGTGTCGGGGCACACCACCGAGCCGTTGGTATAACGTGACGTCTAGTTGAGCGAGTGGCATTTAGTGTTTTAGTTTTTTATAAATATTTAGCATATTTGAAAATTTTATTAGTAAAAATTGTCATCTTTGAAGTTAGCAACGGAAAGAATATCATTTGTCAGACAATAACAACGGTTACTATGGCTAATGCAACCTATTTCCTATGCAACCTATTTCGTTACGGTCCACTTTTCTAAGTGATTTTAAAGACGTTTCACGTAAAAAAATAAAGGAAAAAAATTTGTTTACAAAAATAAAACTAAAAAGATTACACATGAAAACAAGTTGACGGAGGAACATAGTACTATGCAGTAGGAGGCATATATTTGTACCTAATATTTT